GGGGAGAGGCAAGTTGGAAGGAAAGGAGTAGAGCTATCTGCCCCAGAGCAAACAAAGGTGGAGTCTAAACGGAGGCACTCAGAGCAAAGGGCTATTTGCTTCTCCCTGGAGTGTGTGCTCTTGAATGGGGGGAAGAGAAAGGCAATCAGCAGGAAAGCAAATCTAAACCAAAGGAAGGTGATAAAAGGCAGTTGCTCAGTCTACCAAGCTCTGAGAGTCACACAATCATCACACAGACAATCTAAACCCTCCAGAGACTAGGAATTTGGGACTAAAGCCAGAATCAAAACTGCTGTTCAGAGCCCACTCATTCCCTCAACAGTACTCCTAAAATTGTTAGATCCGTAAAAAAAAGAGAACTATCAGGGGGAACTGTTAAGTGCAGTTGAGTCAGTTCCAACCCATAGTGACCCTGTGTATAGGGTTTCCGAGGAGCAGCTGGTGAGCCTGAACCACCAATATTGCAGTTCAAGTAGCTTTGCAGTCTGATGCATTAGCACACAGCGCCACACTTAAGAAATTAGGAGAGGGGAGTTTTTTAAATCAGGGCACAAACACCAGTGTTCATGGCAGACAGTAGCCAAAAGGTGGGAAACAACCTAAATGTCCAGCAAGGGATGAATGGATAAATAACATGTGGTACATACCCACAATGGAATTCTAGTCCATCAATAGGAAAAATTAAGTCTTGATACACAGATGGCACTGGACATAATGCCGAGTGAAATCAGTTAATCACACACACACACACACACACAAAGACAAATATTGTATCTCATTTGTATAAAAGTCACACTGATTAAGGTCAGGGTTGCACAGAGATTATTATAATTCTATTAGGTGTAATAAAAAAGTTGTGTTGTTGTTCAATGCCACTGAGTTGGCTGTGACTCACAGCAATCCTGTCCAGAGTTTCCGAGGAGCATCTAGTGAGTTTGAACTGCCAGCCTTGTGGTTCAAATCAACTTTTAAGGTCAAGTGCTTATCTTACAGCATCACACCAGAATTCCACCTGTAAAAAGTTGAAGGGGGGGGGGGAGGAGGAGAATGGCTGCTGCTGTCTAACCGCATGGGGTGGTTCCTTGGCTTCGAGGTTTGGGTTCAGGATGTTGTGGGATAGCCTAGTTTAAGTGGTCTAATAGCATGTTTTAAATCCTTCTAGTCTATCACCTAGTTCCTTGCATTGGGCATGGGGTTTTAAAAGCTTGCAAGCAGTTATGCACAGCACAACAACTGGCTTCCACTCACCTGGAGCAACAGAGGAAGGAGGAGAATCAGGAATGTGGAATGCCTGGCTAATTGCCTCTAGGAACAACTGCATTCTTTGCACTAAGACCAGAAGAATTAGATAGTCCCCAACCACCATTACTGGAGTCCTGGTGTGGCGCTGTGAGTGACTGCCAGACTGCAAAGCCGGTTGAACTGCAAGGTTTGGGGATTCAAGCTCACCAGCTGCTCCTCGGAAACCCTATACAGAGTCACTATGGGTCAGAAATGACTCAACAGCACTTAACAACAACCAATTCTGAACACTTCGTTTAAAGATTCTATAGAAAACTCCAGATAAAAAGGGGTAAAATACAGCCCAGAATTGCAAATTCTCATGGAGTCCAGGCTTTCTGGCGTAACAGTGGGTGGATAAACCCCTGAAACTGCTGCCTTTTTTGTTCAGTGCTGTTGAGCCGGTTCTAACTCAAAGGAACCCTTTATAGGGTTTCCAAGGAGCGGGTGGTGAGTCTGAACCTCTGACCTTGCAGTCACACTAAAACTATTGCCCTTAGACATCTTTAAACCTTAAACCAAAAATATCTTATTAAAAATCAAACAACTGTTTAAATTAACTAGTAAAAAAACGTCTTGTCTTGAACATTATGCTCTTTTAAGAACTATCTATATGGGATCAAAGGAAGATCTGGTTGTGTAGTGGTTACAGGTCAGGCTGCTAACCTCAAAGTCAGTAGTTTGAAACTACCAGCTGTTATGCAGGAGAAAGAGTAGGCTTTCTGCTCAAGACTTCCAGCCTCAGAAACCCTATGCAGGGTCACTAGGAGTGGGAACCAACTCCACAGTACACTACCACATGGGATCACATTGACAACAGCAACTCAGAAGATTAGACCTTAGAGGGCAGTGAGTCTGTTACTGAGTGAGGAACAACTTCAGAAAGGAAAGGGAGAATGGTTGCATAACTGGAACAATGTAAGTAATGTCACTGAACTGCACATGGAGAAAGTGTTGAATCGGGGTATGTTTTGTGGTGTGGTGTATATTCTCAACAAAACAAAATTTAGAGAGAGAAAAAAAAAAAAAAAAAAACTGAGGGTTTTAAAAAAAAAAAATGGAGAAGACTGCATTTAAGTTTCACACTGTCTTCTTTAAAGTTTAGCAAGAATTGCAAAGGAAACTCAAAATCGAAAGTGTACTTGAAAAGATGTTTATGAAAGGTCACTCTCCAGACCAAAAGCAGAACAGAAAGATGAATACTAGAGCAACCCTAATGTCTTATCTTTAGATTCCTCCAGCTTCCCAACAAGGATGGCTTGGATGTTCACACAAAGCAACCAGAAAAGTAATTAAGTGACAATCCCACTAACACACGGGATACCATCAGGGAGTGGGCTAACTTCTGGCTCCAAAGGAGGGAGGAGCTGGCAAATCCCACACTCCAGGATGCTCTTAGAGGCAAAGAGGCAGTCCAAGCACCCCCAACAGAAGGATGGATTAAAGTTCACTAGAGCAGATAGCCAAAGATTAGGATTCCTCAAAATGAGAGGATACTACTTTCATCAATATTTACCTATCACTCTATTTTTTCCATTCTTAGTACTTCCTCACTAGACCTCAACTATTCAGTAAGAAAATTTGTCAGTGAGGGAGTAGTTCAAGAAATCTCTGAAGCTGTTCCCTCTGCTGCATATCACCCAAGTCCTAAGAGTGGAATAAAGGAGCCAAATTTTCCTAGAAAGTACCAAATCCTGGGTGAGGGGAGTGTAGGACAGTAGTATTCACACTACCACACACTCTTTTAGTACTCCTTCTTGTTGTTAGTGTTCTCGAGTTGGTTCCAACTCACTTTGACTCTGTATAGGGTTTCCAAGGAGGGGCTGGTGGGTTTGAACCACCAACCTTGGGGTTAGCAGTACAGTACTGATCCTACAAGGCTACACCAGGACTCCAAAAGTACTTCTAAGAGGCCCATATTTAGATGTTGAGACTCTGTAGCTCAAAATAAGCTTGTTCCTCCAGCGATCCTGTCTTCTCTTTTAAGGCTATGTGGTTTCCAGCCAGAACAAAGTGATAAGAAAGTGTCTCTAGTCACAATGAGTCCCCATCAGCCCATCTCACTTAAATTGATAATTAGATGTTCTGTCACACAGAGCAAAAATTCACCTACAAAAACATGACTGAGGAAGACAACACACTCCCAGCATTTTCATGTCCAATTAGAAAAAGTGAGTGTTGCAACCAGCTTTTTAAGTATTAACCTGAGTGCTTGGTAAGCAGCTTTCCCCCTAGCTCCCACACTTATCTGAATTCCACTATCTTCCATGCAAACAAAAAACAAAAAACATTAATCCTGAGACACTCCTCAGAGAAACTGAAAAGAAAAAACTTACCAAGGCAAAGAACAAAGAACACCAATAAACCACAGAGTTCTTTCATTAGGTCTTCAAATTTTAGCAACAGTTACTTTCCTCGGCAGGCTCAGAAGTCTCCAAAGCTACAGTCTCAACTCAGACTGTGCACCCTAGGTGTTCTAAACAATCAAACCCAAGAATCACTATTCATTCCATTTTCAGCTGAGCAAATATGATTTTTGCTTTTATTTTTGAAGACACTGTGCTGAATAACTGGAAAAGTAGCAAAGGAACATCACTAAAGTGCCTAGGACCTCACTATTGTCGCCACCACATTGTCCGGAGTCCTGGTGTGGTGCTGTGGGTTAATGCGCTGAACTGCAAAGTTGGATTGAGTAGCAGGGTCGGCGGTTCAAGCTCAGCAGCCTCTCCTAGGAAACCCTATACAGGGTCGCTACGGCTCGGTACCTACTCGACGGCACTTAACAACCATATTGTCCAGGTCAATCAGAAACCTTAGCAGAGAATGATGGTAGTCCATCTGATTCTCTGATACATTCGCTCGCTCATCAACTCTGGTTGGAGGAAGTGTTCTTAACCAGTTCGGCTTGCACTGATCACACTTCAACAATAAAGACCCGACTCCAGCAGAAGTTTCTGCCTTACAGGTCACCATAGGTAGGGCCAGACAAGTTAGGTTGCCGCCTACATTTGCACTAAAGAGTGAAGTAACACCTCCTCCCCTCCCGCTTCACGCGGAAGGATAGATAGGGTATAGCAGAAGCAAGGGTTCCCCGTTAAGAGGAAAGGGCCCCAGGCCAGAGGATGGGAGGCGGTGCTGTGGCCTCAACCTCCTCCAGGGAGGGCACCGCGCTTCCTCCCAGCCGACTGCTGCCTCATTTCCTGAGTAGGAGGAGGGAGCGGAAAAAACTGCCAGAAGGCCGGGCTGGGGGCTTTCCGGCGGTTCCCACCCTTACCCTGTCACAGTAGGTTAGGTCCTGCCCCTCCTAGACCAGAGAAGCACCCACCCACTCTCACCCCTTGGGCCGGAAACCTCAAGAGCAAAGTCCTCCCCCTTCATCGGGAAGTGGGGGAGGGAGACGCCGCTGAGCCCCTCCCCCGGCCGCGCCCGGCTCCGAGGTACTGAATGAATGAGCTGGGAGAAAAAGAGGAAAATCACTTCCTAGGCTCTGCGGAGGCTCGATTCCTTCAAAGGTCAAGTCTGCTCGCCCGAGCGCCTCAGTTCCCCCCTCGCTCGCTTGCTGCCCCTCTGGAGGTATGCCCCACCCAACCTTCGGGCTCCAACTTCATCTCCAAGAATACTGACTCTCTGAGAACCGTGCTCCACCGCAAGAGACCCAATTCGAGATCCCGGGTGCTCCAGCGCCTGCCCCTCCCTCATGCACCTCACTCGCTCCCTACCTGTTCCCGAGCCCGCCTTTCTCCCTCCACTTCCCGCTGGAGGCGTTCGGCCCTCTCCTCGGCATCATCGGCCTGCTGCTGCAGAACCTGGATCTTGCGCTTCACCGCCTCGATGGTGGTGATCCCAGCCATGGTGCCCACCCAGCTTTTGCTAACACTCCTGTTCCAGCCTCCTCCGCTCGGCGTAGCAGCCACTTCTCACTCCTACTTCCGCCTGCTCCGCCCTAAAATACCGGAACTCACCCACCCACCCGGATGTGACGTGGCCTCCGTCATACCCTCTCACCGCCTGGCAGGCGGGAAAGCGGTACACAAGAGGGAACCTCAAGGCTGGAGGGATCCTCGAGGCTAGAGTAAGGGGCGGGGCTTCCCAGTCGCCCTAGGCGACCACTCCTAGGGCTGGTAAAGGAGGGCGGGGTTAGGAAAAGAGAGGACTACTATGATAACCCGCAAGGCGTGTCTTGGTCTAGTCTCGCTGACCAGGTTGTTGTTGTTATATGCCTTGGAGTCGATTCCGACTCATAGTGACCCTGTACAGGGTTTCCCCTGTAAATCTTTATAGGAGCAGAAAGCCTCATATTTCTACCGGAACAGCTGGTAGTTTCGAACTGTTGACCCTGAGTTTCGCAGCCCGATTCATAACCACTACGCTACCAGAGCTCCTTGAGCAGATAGGCTGGCCATAAAGGCTGTTCAAACTCACCAGCCGCTCCTCAGAAACCGTATACTGGGTCGCTATTGGTCGGAAAAGACTCGATGGCACTTAACAACAATCCACAAGTAAAGTGCTGTCTTTACAAACTCTCAGCTGATCCCTCACTCACCAAGTGCTAACCTGCCTCCATTTACCTGCTAGGGCTCCCTGTATCCTCTCTAAACATCCTTGTCAGTTCGACTCATAGTGACCCTGAATGGAATTTACAAGGAGACGCTGATGGGTTTGGACTGCCAATCTTGAGGTTAGCAGTCCAGTGCTTATTCTATAAGGCCACACGAAGACTCGTTAAGTGCCATGAGTCAATTCTGACTCCTAGCGACCCTGTATAGGATTTCCATGGAGTGGCTGGTGGGTTTGAACCAACAACTTTGTGGTTAGCAGTCCAGTGCTTATCCTACAGAGCCACACCAGGACTGCTACAACCCCCTAATTCTTCCCACTCCACAACAATCTCCAAAATCAAGTTCTAAGAAAAGCCTAACAGCCTCCCTCGCTCTGCAGTCTCGTTCCTAGGTATGCTCAGGTAGTACCCTTCCATTTCCTGAAAGTCAATTTAGGGAACAATCTAAATTTAGGGATGGAAACGATGGACAAGTTGGCAAAGTTCCAAGCTTAACTATTACATTTAAGATTCAGGTCTTTTTTTCTTGTTTTTTGAGAGTCCGTATACATCAACAATTAACTGATCTGCCAGTCCTTCCAAACTTTTAAGGACTCAGAACTTGGGAATTAATCTTTGCTTAGAATCTCTTTTGTAGATGAGAAGATGTACTTTTTTTTTCAGGAAGGAATCCCCTGTTACAGCCCACTGATACAAGATCCTTGGTGCAAGAGCCTGGAAAACTATCCTTGGTGCAAGAGCCTGGTAATGAGCATCCATTCAGTTAAAACTTTCGGGTTCACTGCCTCCTCTGTTTCTGGTGCCAAAAGAAGCTATTTATGAGTTAAAAACTATCCATAAAAGACTTTCATGCTGGATTTCTGAAAATGCAATAGTAAATAGACTTGAGAATTGTATTATCTTCCCTCTTATTTTGTTGTATTCCTCTTACTTTTCCAGGAATCCTGGTATGGTGCTGTAGGATCAGCACTAGACTGCAAACCACAAAGTCAGCAGTTTAAATCCAGCTGCTCCTCAGAAACCCTATACAGGGTCTCTGTGAGTCAGAATTGACTCAGCAGCACTTCACAACAACGATAGATAACTCTCTCCTCTGTGCAACTCTTAATTTCCCCTTGAGAATTAGGGTGTAGAACTGCACTTAGAATTCAGAATCCTAACCGCTGAAATATAGATAGATGCTGGCCTCCAGAGACTCCCTCCAGAGACTCTGTTTTATCTCCTTTTGGATATATTGAAAAATAAGAATGTTCAAAGGAAACGGCTCTTGCAGACAGTAATTTGCTTAGTAACCTGTACATTTTGATATCTTCCACCTCTAGGTATTGGGAAGGAAGATCAGGGTTCGGAATCTTAGTAAACTCTAAATGGTGGCCTAAGAATGATTCCTACTTGTTGAGGAGAAATCTGATTGGAGCACTCATGGTAGCAGCTGTGAGACTTTGTCTTCTGGATTTTGATCAGCAGGGGGCACTACTGCACCTTCCTGTGCTACATGAAGAAGAAGCAGAAGACCTTGTCCTAGATAAATGAAAGGGGTGCCGAGCGCATCACTGCATTCCTAAGGCTGGTAGATTTGGACAGATAATCTCCTCTTGATCCAGAGAAGCAGATGGGCTGATTCCCTTTAAAAGTATGGTGGATGGGCAGCGAGGGGCCCAGTTCTTTTTCCTGTGACAGACATACAACAACATATCAACAGGTGTAAATGTTCCTCACTGCCAGTCCTTTCACTATCTTTCTCACATCCTCTCCCTACAAATGGATGCTATCCATTGCATGCCTCATTCCCCTTGTGTCTCCCTAAAAAGCTATTGATTTCACCTCATATTAAAAAGACCTTAAACTTGGGGAGGTAAAAACAAAAGTTTGGACTAACCACATCCTTGCCCTTTTTTTCTTCAAACAGTTATAGCAAATCCTAAACTTTCCAGAAAAGCTTCCCAGGTAACCAGATCTCCTGTGTAAGCATACAGTTTTTAACTTCCTCCTCCTTCCCCTTCCCTTACATCTACATTAAGATAATGTGTTGCTAATTTATTAATTTCAAGGGCAGAAGCTGAACTGTTAATTTCTTTGTGTTGGACAGAGAGCACAATGTTTCAAAAGATACATGTATTATGCTGTTGATAACTCTGACCCTTTTCTAGCTAGTCTCTCAGTTATCTTTGTGGCATACTTCAAGGTTGAAAATACAGAGAATTCGTGATTGCGGGCTAATATGAAGTGAAAACAAAAAGGATTTTTACATGTGATAATTCAGCCTTTGAGAAGCTGAGTATTTGACTCAAATTTACAGAGTAAGTTCTGGTGGTGATATTTTGCCCTTTAAAGTTCCTAATTCGTTTCTGTTATTCTTTTTTACCTAAGGACCTCCCTGATGTCCTATGAGCAGTGCTTCCTGCAGCATCTCTGTGGCTTGAGATCAGATGCCCAAATTGGCCAAGATAAATAAACTCATAGAGAGCCAGGGTCAACGTGACCTCCTTTGTCCCATATGAAATCCAAGCTGGCTTTGTTGGGTACTTGGGAGATGAGAGATTCCCTATTAATACACATATCTACATGCCAAGCCTTGGACACAAAAGCTAAGAATGTGTTTGGGGGGAGGGGTGGAATAAGTGATAGCAGTGTGGATTTAGAGTCCCCTTTTTTTGTCCCATTCTTGGGAAAGAGAATTCCTGGACTAGGGCTAGGACAAAAAGATAAGACTTCTACATGTCTTTCAGAAAGAAATATATGACATGACAAGAGTATACCAGCATGTGGTTAGATGCAAAGATGTACATGAGTATATATGATTATCTGTCTGTGGCCCTACAAGTATGTATATGTCAAAGTACGTTTGAAGTTCAGTGATATATTAAAATCAAGATCTATATGTGGATATTAAACCCATCCTCATCTCTGTAATACTTACATCAGCTGCCTTCTTCTCAGCCAGCTCCAGCTTCTCCTGGGCATCCTTCAAAGCTTCAGAATACTTATCCAGCTCATCCTCTGTCCCTTTCAGCTTCTTCTGCATAGCTGCCAGCTCGTCCTCTAGCTGCAGGAGCCCAGAGAGTCACATACACATACACAACAGTGCAATCTTGGACCCTGGGTTTTTAAGCCCTGATGTACCACTGAGCTCAACCTCTATGCTACCATCCTCAAAGAGACATACTTTGCCCCCAGCCATTTCCACCTTAATGTTCCATATGTTATACTTTGGCCTTGGCCTGCGATCCTGTGACCTTAGGATGACCAAGCCATACTGGGTTTCATCCCACGACTCTAGCAATATCTAAGGGCATAGATATCTGTGATTCTGTTTAAAGGAAAAGAGATGCTGCATACCAGGCTTTCATCTTCTTTGGGCTCTTCCAAAAGATAGTCTGCTCCTACTTAAATCCAGCAGACATGCTGACTCTAAGGGGTCACTGACTTTCACAACACACAGGTAGTCTGAGGCAGTTACCCCAGATGTCCTTTGTCCCTCCAGTGAAGCTTAGGAAGAAGAATTCTTCCTACCCAAAGAAGGAGCTGGCACCACTGGTCACTGCATTTCCCAAGAAAACTCTCTCCCATCTCAGTCTTTATTCACCAGCTAGTGACAGAGATCAATGCCAGCGCCTACCTGTTTACTTCTTTCTTCTGCCTGTTTCTGCTCCGCTTCAGCTTGTTCTGCCCGATCCAGAGCATTCTCCTTGTCCAACTTCAGCATCTGCATCTTTTTCTTGATGGCCTCCATCATGAGCAGTGGCAGTTGGGCTCACTTGTGAGCACTGGAGAATGGAGACTAGTCAAGAAAGGAAGGGCTGCTGCCTGAATGACTGCAAGTTCCCCAAATGTGAGCCTTTATCTCTGCTCATGGCTCCACCTCTTATCCCTAACATGGTCCTTTCAGCTCCCTCCACCCCATTTCTCCTCCTAGGGGAACACCGGGTGAGACACTTTGATGGACTGACATCACCAGCAAAGAAAAATTTGGGAACAGCTGAGGCTGATTTTAGACAATGGAAAGTGGGGGAGGGGAGAGCTCCCAGAAACTTTCCACTCATTCTAGGCAGCTCTATGGGTATTTTACTCTTCTCTTCAGGGCACCCTGAGCAGACAGAGGGAAAGAGAAAACACAAATAGAGCGAAGGGTACTTGGGCAATTTTAGAATAGCAGTGAGGTTTCATCTGAGGGTCTTATTTGCCTTTCAACTTTTCTCTTAGTCTCACTCACCCAGACTGAGTTGGATGCAGCTCAGACTCTGCTAGTTGAGTTTTATCTTTTGATTTATGGTATCCAGGAAGCTTGGGTAACAGTGAGGAGGGCAGGTCACTCATGATCCTTAACAATTCTCCTAGATCCCTAGATGAAATTGCTTTGCTATTTTGGGAGACCCTAACTAGCAGGGAGAAACTCTGGTG